GGAAACTCAAAGAAGAAATGAGCCGCTATTTTTGGTCAGCGTCGACAAATTGCCTACCTGTTTTCCAGAAACAGGTAGGCAATTTGTCGACGCTGACCAAAAATAGCGGCTCATTTCTTCTTTGAGTTTCCATTTTCGCGTCGAAGAGCAAAAATATAGACTTTCGGAGAATATTTTAGCTGTTTACTATCAAATATGTTTGTGTAACAGTTAACAATCTCACTGAGGAAGGCCAACGGTTTCTGAAAAGCTAAAGTACGTCGAAATCAGCTTTGGAATAGACTATATTTTCACCGGGGAAACATGAACAAAATGGATATTTACATCGACACTAAATTTTGCTGCTGCCTACAGAGCTAGTTGGATTAAAACAGATGTTAAGAAGTGGAAATGTGAACTTTGTGACTTATACTTTCATTAAAATGTTTCAGAAGGTTTGCTAATGTCAAACTACGCGTGTGACAGAGCTGTCAGTATACCTACATTTCAATGTTTATGTTGAAATGACCCATCTTCTTTGAGGTATAGCGCGGCACTTTTTTTGGACACTGAAGATGGTAACATTTGATGTTGTCATATATTGCCATCCTCTTATCGTAGCATAACTTAACTTATTTTAGTGAATTTGTTAAAGAGTTGTGTTCACTATATGCTTGTAGTATCTAAGATTTTTTCATAGCATTATATGATAAATTTAAGTTCTGTTTTCTTTTATTTTTAGGTGATAGTATCTGTTCATTCCAGTGCTGGTATCAAATTTTGGACAAGTTTCAATTATTATTTCACATTCCTTTATTCAAATATCCAAATAAATGGAATATGACATCAAGTTGGAGGACTAGATCCTGTTTTCAAACTTGTTTTTTGTAAAAATAGAAAATAACAACTTATTCTGTGTTGTTCTAATAAAAACCATTGTTTTTTATATGCATATATTTTAATTTTATTCTTTGTTAAAATGTGTACCTGGAATACTGAAATCTTTCAGATCAGCTAACAATACCTTTATAACTTATATATCCAAGTGTTCTATCTATTTTTGTTCAGATTAAATAAGTAATGGGCAAAATATTAGATAACATTTTTTCAAAAAATATGAGCTTGCCTGTTTTCACTCCTGATATATGTCGCCATATTGATTTTCTGCGCGCATGCTCAGACAAATTGCCTACCTGTTGTCTCAAGATGCGTTAACCTCGTTCCCAGGCTTTCCCCTCTTGTGGAGATAAGCCTGGGAACGAGATTGGGGATGTGTCCAAAATATTTGGGGGAAATATATTAAGCTCAAAAGATGTTTGTAAATTTTGAGGGGGAGGTGAACAATTTAAAACTTTATTTCATATTGCGCACGCATGATTCTTCTCAAGATTTCAGTTTTTTGCTCAATCGTGCACCGTGACTTATTTCAATACATCAAAATAATCCCGCCTCACATCTCGTATTGGCAAAGCGGGATCATATAAACAGCCCTTACTCAGCAAATTGCATGCGCATGCTGCCTTTGATCCCTTGGGAGTGAGGCAGCACTTTCCTTGCGATAGTAAATTCTAGTATATTGTCTGATTCTGCAAATTAAAGTATTATAGCATTCCTTTCAATTGTTTACCTTTTTGTTGAATTTTGTATTTTATTAATTATTTCCACAACTAACAACAAAATTTCCTTTCTTATTTGTAACATTTCCAGGATCTTGAATTTTCTTTTTTCCTGGAAAATTCCTGAAAGTTTTTCGATGTTTTTCATTGGCATTTTTGAAGAATAAATACCACAATCTATCAAATTTATAAGAAGTGGCGCTGGAAAACGACTGCAGTTATTTATTCGGCGATCGAAGCTTTTGATCAAGAAATCCAGGCCTTCATCAATCATCAGTACAATGGTTGAAATTGGAGATTTACTGATTTGACTGATGAAATATGCGCATGTGTTCTGTTCTTACATGAATAACCTGATCGGCTCAATTTTGGGTCATGCACACACCATATACTACTTGGCAGACATGATGAGAGTTAATTACTTTAAATATCAAAATATCAAAATACATATTGAAATATAATGGTGTGCTTCTTTTTAAAGAATTTCCTTACATTTCCTGAATTTTGTCAGATTTCCTGAATTATTTTCATTAATCCTGGCTTTTTCCTTTTGTTAGTAAAATTTTCTGCAGAAAGGAAATTTCCTCCAATGTGGAAATCCCGACTGTTCATATTTTACAAAAATATGTTTTTCATGTTACGATGGCAACCACTACCGTTTCCAATCATGATATTTCATGTTTTGGAATTATATAGTTCCTATGTTTTGGAATGTTTTGGAATTATATAGTTCCTATGTTTTGGAATTATATAGTTCCTATGTTTTGCAATGTTTTGGAATTATATAGTTCCTATGTTTTGGAATTATATAGTTCCTATGTTTTGCAATGTTTTGGAATTATATAGTTCCTATGCTAAAATATGGCGAGGGGTGGTACCATATGAGGAGAGGATTCATACAAATTTCCGGCATTCACGTAGTTAACGTTCTAGTAATAGTCGTAGTTACAAGTTCAACAAACCTTAGACACATTTTGTATAGCTTTTGAACTGATCCAGTAAAATCCATCAGCGGCATCAGGAACTCTATCGACAACGTCTGAGCAGTCAATTGCAGGATCGAAATATTCACCGACAGTCGAAGTCCCTAAAACAAAACATTTTTTAGTTAACATGCTTGTGACAACAGAGCACTTTGTACACTAGAAAACTGTGTAATACTGTAAATCCTCTATTAGCTTCCATCTCGAGTATACATAAGCTCAATCTCGCCTCTCAAATTAACTCCTTCGCAACAAGCATGCAATATGTGCTGATTACATTTAATCTATTGTCCTGCATGAATAGGCGTAAAATTCGCCCGACGTCGATGGAAATTTCTCACCTTATCATGGGTTTATAACCGGTAGATGAACAAGCGAATGGCCTATACCTATTCACATTAGTTTACTGTGTGACTTAATTAATAATTAGAACATTTGAACTATATCGGCGAGGCTTTCTCCCTATTAAGCCCCCTCACTAAACTAGACCCCTGTCCAATATGCCTTTCTTCCTACTAAGCCTTCTATTGTAATACCCTCTTGAAATAAATTTCAAGCTTTCTTGAAATAAACAAGACTTTCCCGGTGGCTTAATGGAGGATTCGCGATGATTGTCGAGGTTTCACGATGCATTCACGAAGATCAAGAATGCATGATTGTAATACTATTAGTGTATATATGAGTATATGACTTACCATCAATGGTTTTCCATAAAAATGTTGGGTTTTCTTTTGTACACATGAGCACTCTATCTGCACCAAGTCTGTCTTGAACAAGTTTTATTTCGCCGTGATTTGATGTATCGCATTGTCCCGGATCTATTGGGTTTTTCTTATCCAGCTACATAATACATAAAAATAAATAAAGTGAAATACTTATAGGATAAAATTAAGGCTCCATGCACGATTAAATATATAGTCAATGCCTGCATGCTTCTTTCAGTTTGCCATGCTCATATATAGACAGCATGCATTAGCTAGAAGTAAAATGAGGCAACATATTTAGAGGCTCCTACATGTGAATATACTCCGCTATATGAGTAAGAATATCTACCACGTAAAATGTGAATATCTATCTGTAAAGGCATATCTATATGTTCCGCTCCATATACAATACATATAATAACAGGGCTACTGTCCCACTATAGTACGTGTTAATCCACTGAGCCAAAAGCAGTAATATACAGTGTAATGCATTCATATTGAAGCTCGTTGATTTAAACCGATGCATTTTACTAAACATATATATTGAAGCCACTTTTATATGTATAACCAGTAATAAATAACCAGCTGAAATTGCATGGTACTCCATATAAAGGAATTATGCCACTATTTTTTAATTTATCTTTTTAATCTATCAAAATATATAAATTACTTAAATGCCATTTCCATGATAGCAGTATAACGGACAACTTTAATTAACGAGTTCATAATTACATAAAGTAACTTGAAAAAAACGTTTGTCGATTATAGTCTCCAAGCTCTGATAGTTTGGCACCTTGGCGGCTAAAACACCTGCCTTGTGCCTTTGATTTTCAATTTTTGCCAAAATTTACTATCATTTAGAAATAATTCGAACACAGTAAAATAGTGCAGATCTGAAAGAGTACTCACAGTAAGACCAACATAGTTTGAACTTTTCTTGCTGGTTCCAAATACCAAAAACACAGAGAACAGCGTCCAAGTTAACCAAGCCATGGTTGGAGACGAATTATGCAAAGAGTGAGAATCCTGCTCCTTTTATGCTATCTGTCAAAAATAATGATAAGCAGACCTGTTATGAAATAATATCTGTCTACCTTTGGGTAAAAATAACTATGGCGTTTGTTATGCAGATTTCGTTTCAGCAGCGAACTAAAGGATAAGCAGAACTGACTTCCGCCGTATCTGTGAAGACATCAATAGCTGAATAGAAGACGTATTTCCGTCTAAGACGGGAAACTCGTGTGATGTATTTCCGTCAGGTACGAATATGAAACCTCGTATGAAACGAAAACCATCGGATGGATAACTCACGAAAAAATAGGAGACCCTCCATCCCAGTCTCTTTTCAGCGTTACAAGCCGAAACCCATCTTGATTTATTCGTGGGAAATAAATTTAAGACGAGTTTTCCGTCTAAGACAAGTTTTCCGTCTAAGACAAGAAACTCGTCTAACTTTCCTGTCGTTCAGACGGAAAAGTTACAAGTAACTCTATAGCGCTAATAATTCGAGAATCTGAGATCTACAGAGCAAGGTAGCTCCGCAATTCAAGTATTATTTACTCATGCAGGTATAGCTACTGCATATATACTGCCAGTAAAACAGCGGGGGCCCTGCTTTTTCATTGGGCAATAGCATTCCACAATTGAACGGTCGTCGCTATAAACATTACTGTATGCTACATAAATTGCAGTATATACCCATGCTATTACATATGCATACGACATACCTATATATAGTATATACTATCATCAGTGCGATATTGACAACGTTTCTATTCTACAGCCTGGATTTAAATTTAGCTTTAAGATGAAAGTGAAATTGGAAACGTATAGCTCATTACCACCGATGGTAATTGTCCAAGCTCTATATATAGGACTATAGATTGTATTGGTGTTCTGTAACGAATTTGCACTGGGTTGAAGACAGAAGCGACTGCATAGACAATGACATAAAATTTATGAAATCTCAAAGTTTAAGCTGCCATAAAGTCAAAAAAAAATTAAAAATAATATTGATATTTCGTAAACACATCAGCGTTTTGAACTAAAATATGCATGGTTGCCAGTTTTCGAAATTTAAACTTCATTAAAATTTCAAGTGGCAAGTAAACGTGAAGTGGTTTCCTATGCAGACACAGACAAGGCAGTATATTTTGTTCAGCAACACGTTCAATGTTTAGAGTTTATCAGTCAGGTTACCATCTAGCTACTTTAGACAAAATTTACTTTATAGTTAACAGCGTGAGGGATTATCCTATATTATCTTGTGTGAAACAGCCATGCCATGCATGTATAGTATAATTTATTTACTACGAGACATTCAGTTATTTTAGTGACGTGCATGCACATTTCTTTCAAATAATGCGGAGTTAAATGGGAATATTATTGATTTAACAAACCAACACATGCAGTGAAATTTTATGTGTATATTCAACCATGAAATTGATTGAACTGGCAATTTTTGAACTAATTTTTGCTGCCCAAATTATGATTGTGATTGAACCAAACATTTTACATCTTCCAAATTTCACACAAAGCATGCAGTTGGTTATACTACCTACAATCGTGGACATACCTTTTTAATAAAAATTTAATTTGTCGAGTGATTGCAGTTTGATTCCTGATCTTATAAAAAATATCCCCCTTCCTCAATTAATCAAAAGAATGTTGTTGGGGAGAGCTAATAGTAATGAAGTATATAGTTGGATATATATATTTCCTATTTTATTATTTTGTTCACGATTGCATGTAGGTAAAAGAAGCTTCTACACGAAAAGATATCACGAATAGCCTCCTCCACAGGCATCTCTTAATCGTCGAGAACTTATATAATTTAGTTGTTCTTATTGGGTTACTGTGCAGGGAGAAAACTACGTAAGTACCACGAGATGCCTGCGGAGGAGGCTAGGTTATAAATACAGCCATATTAATATAATAATTAATACACTAGCTTACACTAGCCACATTAACATGCACATTGATAAAGTCCAAACGTAATCCCATGCAAATGACATGGTCAGAGTACCCTGACAAAGAGGAAAAATCTGAAATATATGTGTTGCAAGTTTCTTTTCATAACAGGAACTTTTGCTGCAGCCACATCTTAGACTATAAAACCTGAGTTTGTATATATACTCGATATATACGGTGGAAAATATTTCACTATACACAACATAAAAAATTGAACAACAGATAGTCCTAGATATATTGTTATGCAGATATAGCTTCAGCACTGTATCTAAACAAATTGACAGAAACTTCCTTGCCTGTTTATAATCCATCTTAACATGCATATGTCATTTAACAACAAAAATCATTATATAGGCCTACTAAAAGATAATATAAAATACCATGCACTAGTTGAACATCCTACAAAGTGTGGTCGTGACAACGAATCGACGGCACTCAACTGCATGGTCGCTATAGCTTGTTCATGAATATTCAGTGACAACTCTTCAGTGATAATATGAGATCAATCTGAACAGCAACCAAGTCCAAGATATTCAAGTATACAATTTACCTGGCTACTGCATGTACTATACCGTTTTAAAACAACATAGTGCATGCAGCCATCCTGCATTCGGCCTTTGGAGGTATAGTCCGTATATATGATCGAATTAGAGGTGGTTATAATTTCACGTCCTATTTATATGGAAAATAAATAACATTGATTCATATACCTGACCCAAAAACAATCCTAAACACTACAGGTCTAAACATAATGATTTTAGGATCAGGTTTCAATCAATTTTAAAAAGAACAAAATAGACACTCCGAAAATAGTTAACATTTTAATCAACGTTTCGACTAGGTTTCAGTCATCATCAGGAATGACGCTGTTGAAAAATACTAAGATATATATTTACAAGTTAAGTGGATCAAATTACGCGCTAATTAATTAAATATCACAAGTTCCTTTAGCTTTAGTTCCGTGATTAAGTTCCGGTTTTTGGCACTCTCCTCCGCAGAGTCTGAATTATATAGGATTTGTAGGGATAGTAGAGGATATTTAGTGGTGCGCGACGGGGGGGGGGGTGAGATCGATGGTTGACAAAATGAAAAATGAAATTATAATGAAATTATAATGAAATATAATATTGGGAGTATAATGAAATTATACTCCCAATAACTGCGGGCCACCTTTGATAATATAAGCCACCAGAGTTCAGTGCATGTAAACATTTCACACAAACATTACAAACCTTGGGTGGTATAAATGGCCATTTATTATGCTACCAAGAAGGCAACAAACCTTGCAACAACTAGGTTCATCCAAGAGTTGCAAATTATAAAAAGTACACACTGTGCCAAATCAAATACATACACACTGGGGACACAGCAATGAATACATACTTTATAGTACATATACTTTGTATTTTTATTCAATCAAAAATAATATATTTCATATTTACATACCGTCTCTAATCGCAGATTCGACAATTGTTTCACTGCGTTGCAGCGTTTCACCCAGAGTGCATATGCTGTCATTGAATTTCAAGGAGCGATGTTTATTTATATAAACTTTGAAACGTTTCTTCGGTCCAACATCGTCAAAAAACTTCCTCGTTGTTCTCAATGCACTTTGAGCAAACCAATTCATCGCAAACTTTTGGTTTGTATCATAGAATAAAGATCCACATAGAAGGGCAACTTACGTCGGAAGCTTTGAAGTTTCTGTCCTCGCGCATGTCGCATTACGCATGTTGGCCGCCATTTTCCTAGCCAGTCAATGACATTTTCTGGCCAATAAACACGCTGTACTGGCTGGCTGCTCCGCCTTCTGGCCAGTAAACTGCATATTTTTGCATAAAAAAACGAGGACATGTTGCACTGCTGAGTGGCCCTTCTGTTTCTGATCTTTATTCTGTGGTTTGTATGCTGAAACGGCCTATTTGTCTTCATGAATAATTCATGAGTAATTCAATATTCTTATGTCTGTAATTGGACGCCATTTTGGAAACATTATATGGCAGAGCCTTACGTAGCTTTCGTCTTCCCATCATACCTTGCGTAATTTGTCCTCCCCCCCTTAATATTACGCAATTTTACTAAAAATTCGTAAGGCTCTGCGGAGGAGAGTGGGTTTTTGGCAATGTATATGTAAAGACTCCTTATATAACAATAATGACCAATGTCTAGATTTATCTATAATAGTACAGTTTTGGTATATGATGGCTTCTGTGGTATGTGGATCGAACTGGTCTAGTAGTGTGTTAGGTAGGTTAAGTAGGACGGGTCTGGGATAGCCTGCATGGCAGGCGGTATTTCTACGGGCAGCGAAAATTAGGGAAGCAAAGGAAATACCGTCTGCCGCAAAACTAGGGGTTTTTGAATTACCCGTCCGCTGGTGAACGGGAAAAACGGATTGGTTAGTATTTTTATGTAGTTGTCAATCAACGGCTAAATTCGGTTAAATGTTAATCATTAACCAAATGTTTTGACGTTTTGAAACTCTGCGTTTTGAAATTAGTTCACGCAAGTCAGACGAGAAATGGAATAACATAATAAAAGAAGATACAAGCTGACTAGAAAAATAACACTCTAAATAGTGTTATTGATAGAGATTCGAACAAGAATATTTAACAAAGAAGATACGTCCGAAGGGGCCGAAGTTATGATCGGCGAAAGGTATGGGCTAGTCTATACTTTCGTTCAGACAATTACATGCGTATTAATAATTTGATAATATACTATCTCGCTTGACTTTCAAAGGCCACAAATCGCAATAATGTTGACATTTTACTAAAACTATCGATAGAAATTAGGAGATATTTCTTCACTGAATCGAACAGTACGTGGGATTTCCATATAGCCATAGGCCTATCAGTCATGTTCTGAACCAAAGATACTTGATAGATATTATATACGAACCTCCAAAGTATAAACAAGGGGCCGGTTGGTGCAGTAATTATCAAATAACAGTTAAACTCTTATATACCCGTTGAATATATGTATAGTTGTAAACAAATAAAAACTATCGTTCTATAAGGTTCAATACTTTCAGTTTGGTTGTTGACTGATGATGAATCTATAGTATAGACTTGCATGCTTTGTATTTTGAGCTTATTAAACCACCGTTTTAAGGTAGCTAAACGGCTAAACGGGCTTGGTTTATATTAACACATAAAGTAAATTCCTTGATTCTCATCACTAGACACAGTCTACACTTTGAAATGTCGAAGACAGTGGGAGATTTATTTTTTATATTTTATATTTATATAATTTATATATCAATAGCTCGTATCTCCACGAACAATGACAGAATGACTGAGTTTCTTTAAAATACAATGAAATTTCACTCAAAATTCTGTTTGTTTCAAATTGGAAGTTTAAAATGGCAATAAAAACTCTATATAAAATATGAAAAAATTAACTATCTTGAATTATTTTGTCGGGCGGTACATTTATATTGTATAACGAAAAATAAAACGTTTTCACGAGGATTTTAAAATTCAGTCGGGCGGTGATGAGAATCAAGGAATTTATTTTATGTTCGGCAGTTGGGACTTGGGAGCAGCTTGGGAGTGGCTAATTTTGAATATTTACTTAATTAATGCATCTATAAATAGCGTTGATGCTTCAGGGGCGGTAGTTCATTTACACCCAGTTTTGCGGCAGGCGGTATTTCCTACGTACCGCCTGCCATGCAGGCTAGGTCTGGGAGTATTGAAAATGTTCACATGAGTGTTCTTTAAAGGGTATTGGCAACAAAAAAATTTATTGATTTTATTGCTTCATCTGAAAGAGCATGAAAAAATAAGCCGATTGGCTGTTTACTGCTCTGTTCTATCTCATCTGGTTCCTATACGCAAAAATGTGCAAAATATAAATTGCTGATTCAGCACATTCTGTGACGTCATAAGCTGGGTAAGTATGTTTATTGAATAGTAAACTAAAGCATAGCTGAGTTATTATTGGCTCAAATCAAATGAAATTTTGCATACAGATAGTACATGATGAGATGCATGGGAAAAATGAGTGTATCTAAAAGTCGAGGGTCGAGAGTAAAAGTCGAGAGTCGAGAGTAAAAGTCGAGAGTCGAGAGTAAAAGTCGAGAGTCGAGAGTAAAAAGTCGAGAGTCGAGAGTAAAAAGTCGAGAGTCGATCGAGAGTAAAAAGTCGAGAGTCGGCAAATGTCATCAGAAACAAAGTCAAAATATTTTTATTTTTTAACCACGTTTAACACAATCTATATATATAGCTTTACATAGCCATTCCGTAACAAGTACCAACGGCTGAAATACAAACTTTCCAATAAATAG